TATATGAGAATATAAAAGACAAGAATATGCATTCTCCATTTTGGATGCATATTAGCTTATTATCAACCTCTGGAAAAGATGCAAGTACGTTTCCCAGTACATATTTCCCATAGTATCAAACATTAAGCATGTTTAGCAAAGCATGTTATAAAAATTCCCAGTGAAATTAGCATACAGATCATGTATCCATTTTGTCAGAGTTATGGCAAATTTGCCATATTGCATATCATTGCCCATTCTTTTGGCATTGTGTCGTCGCTGTTAGAGAAATGTGTTGCACTGAGTCTGTGAAATGAGGCTGATTTAGACTAGTAGGACTGTATTGTTCTTGGGCTAACACAGAAAAGGTATTTGCAAAAACCCAACCTTTAATTATTTTGTCAACTTCAATAAACATTTAATGGAGTCTCATGAAGTCAAACTAAATTACATTAAAAGTAATGAAGCGAGAATTTTATTTGGAAACATCTAATAATTCATTTATCCATAATATTAGCTTGGAAGTGAGAATGAAGCCATGGGAATGCTAGGAAGTAAAACCTCATTGTGTCCCTGCTGCAATTCATCTGGACCTTGAAATGGAAGCAGCTAATCAGTGATGAATGACTGTAATACATGAACACTCATAAAGTTCATGTTGCACACACACCTATATAGATTAGCTGCACACATGTTTGCACAAACCACACAGCTCACATTACTTTGTTGTTTAGTGGCCTCTGGTGGTGCGCTGTAAATGGAGCACTACACAGTTTGTAACTTTAAATTGTGGAAGTGCTGGAGTGTCTCCCCCCTCTCTCTCTCCCATCAAACACAAATCCACCCACAGCTGCAGGCACACACACACACAAAACATTCACTGACAGTCTGAGTGCATCATTATCCCAAGTCACATCAAATATTAACGAAGAAGCACTTGACACAGAGGCAGAAACAAAGTGGAAGAATATATTTGCATAAAAGAGAGATATAAAACTGAATGAGGAAAGGAGGATGAATAGTTAGAATAGTGCCATGAATCTGGAATGATTCAACCCAGAACTCTGCAGTGTGCACGGCGCACGTTAGGGTTGTTCAAGTGCTGCCTTGAGAATTACAGTCCTAGCTAATACACATGAGGCCTACACAGGCAACAGCCATAAATTTATCTTTTTATATTATTGTTCACTAAATCAAGGAAAAGAGAGCTAAACCAGTTGTTGTAAAATCACACTGATATTTCCACACGTAGCTGAGACTCTAGGTCTTAGTCATTCTGACCTCTCCTCACCAACCATGAAGTTTTTCACCCGAAATGCCACTGTGCTACTAGTAGTGACTCTTAAATTGACTGTAAGTTCAAAAGATACTGGCTCAGACAGCTGAAGCTCCATTTGAGCCTCAGACAAACTTTGGAGTGCACAGAATGAGGGCTGTGCACTTTATTTCTCATTATTTACAGCTTAGTGGTGTTACCAGGTGAAAAGCTTAAAACCCTTCCTTTAAGTCTCATCACTCCTCTGTGCTCATCAGTAGCTCTGATCAGTCCACAACCAGCCCACATTGTCGGGTCTCAGCTGAGAATCCAGCCTGATCTAGTCTGAGAAAGGCATGTTTGCTACATACAGCATACTGTGGAGGCCAAACAGAGACCAAACAGTGTTAAAGGCAGAGTGAATATTGAAACAAATATATTCATTAAGAAAGGTGTAGCACCTCTACCAAAAAAAAAAAACATCTTTGCATCAACTGTATAGGTCAAGGAGGTAATACTAGTAACGTTACAAAAAGAAACCTGCCTTCCACCCATAGCTGCCAGAGCAGAACCAGTACAAACATTGGGGAGATTGTCTCACCATCATTGTGTAAGAGATTGATTTTTACCTTTCCTATTATAGAATACTAGAC